AGCGGTTTGGGTATACTCAACATAGATGTTTTAATGATGAAAGATGTTGCAAATGCGGAGGATCCCAAAGAAGTTCTACTTGTAAACTTAAAGAGGGTTAAGAATCCAAGTGTATTTCCTGCGGGCAAATCCCTGTAAGTTCATACTCAGGATGCCCTAAAGAAACAATAGCTTCGAAATCTGGCACAAAGTCTGAAGTCAACTTTCCTACGTTCATAAAGGACATTCCACCATTAAGCTTTACAACCAAAAAATCTTCATACAGCGAAGCTCTCAAATATTACACACTTTTGCTCACCCGAATTCCTTCTTTTCTATTTTTTCCCAACTCTGTACAAATTTTACTCATCTGATGTGGAGGTGCGTGGTGTTACCACAGGAACTCCTTAAATGTTCTTCACTAGCATTGGTTCAGCTCATCAGCATATACAGAAACTAGTTGATTACGACCCAACGATTGAGCATGCAGTAAAAAGACCCAGATTCATCTTTCACAATACCAAGTGGGGATATATAACCCATATATCAAATGTAAATAGTGTTATCAAGAGACTTTGTTTATCTAATTCTTCTTGCAAAGATATAGATTTTGTTTTCCCTTGCAAAGCTCCAATATAGCTGTGCATAGTGTATTTATCTTCGGTATTTTTCCATTTCGCCGGCGTAGGCGATAAAGTCGCCAAAAATGGTTCAACGGACGCCAAACGGTATATCTCTGCTGGTAACCTTTCACGCCACATTTTCAGAACAAGTCTCGGCCATTTCTTATCAGATAGATTGTTTCTTTCAATACTGAAAATACAATTACATAGAATTTTTACCAGATAGTTCAGATTTATACCCTCAGGCCATTCCCGGTAATTCAGTTAGGATGCAATCACACCGCTCACCCGAAGGCTAATATATAGAAAAGGAAAAGTCAAGGGTTAAATTCATCAATCCTAATGAGAATGTACTAGTGAAGTAAAGCACTGCAGTTTTACATAATTTTTGAGTAAGCTATTCGTACGAATTGAAATAGTTCTTGCATTTGAACTTACATTCAAATTAAGATTTAACATGAAATTAATGTAGATAATTACTGAGAGAATTAGATTTTTGTAACGTTCTTTACGTGAGAAGAGATCACTTGGGGTCGCATGATACGAACCGGCGAATCAGGATGTTGAACCATGAAAGCATAGTAAATTCTAAATTAAGGTCTTTTTACAAATATATGTCAAAAATGGATGAAAAACCAATGGAAATTTGGAATTTGCCCAGAATAGAGGAAGAATCTATTAGATTCTTTCAAACGAAAAGTCTTTTGCCTAAAATTGCAACTTGTGATAATAATCATGAAATGAAATTATATTCTGGAGACGAAATTCAATGGCGCTGCAACTTTTCAGCTTGTCGCAGTAAAATGTTTGGTTTGGTTTATTGAAAATACGGCAAAGCACACTAGGGCTATCTGCCTAAAGGGAGGAATGCCTTCGTGGAGGACTTTCTAAGGGAAACTGACTCCTATACACGTTACACACGGGGAAAACCACGAAAACGCCCATGCAGCCAGCCCGTTCGCGGAATTCGAACCTCTGTCCCAGGAAAAGAAGTATCCGAGAGGCACATGGTTTGAGTCATCAAGATTGAGTTTCTTGAAGTGTGTGAGCTTTATTTATGGTTGGAGCGAAGACTTAACTTCAGTTAAATGGTGTGAAAAACAGTTGGAAATCAGTCACGGAAAAGTAGACTGGAAAAACTACATGCGCGAGGCTTGTGTGGATTCTTTGCTTAAAAGTAGTAAAAAACAGATAACGTAGATTTTCCGTTTTTTACTATTTAAAAGTAGTAAAAAAACAGATAACGTAGATTTTCCGTTTTTTACTACTTAGTTTGTTAACATTTTGTATGTGTATACTGTGTGTTGTCGCCAATAAAGTCTGCTTGGCGAGATTTGCGCCTGCGAAATGGAAAAGTACCTTATCTTCAAAAAGTGTTTTATTTTCTACTAACAAAGCTATAGACTTTGTTCTTTTCATCTTGCAAAGCTCTAATTTGTGTAACTTGCGTTATCAATATTATTCCATTTTCACTGTGCCTTACAGAAAGGTGTAAATATTATATATATATTGACTTTGTGACATCTTAGGGCATACGACCAAGTTGGGCAGTTAAAGCAGAGCCTGCTAAAGGCTGCCCATAGCATTCAAGATCAAAGATCTCAGGTCAGTCGCTTAGTTACTGCTATTGCGAGTTGTTTAGATAGCTGCTGTTGTTATTTTTGCGAGTTTAGCGTGAGATCGGATTAGCTTTCGCTTTATATTGCGTTGTATTCTAACGCTTTTAGTAGTTGGAATTATAACTACTGATTATATTGCGTGATATAGTGAACACTTATACGAATATCTCTGAGAGCGTTCCAGCGTTCTGTTATACTTTTTTTATAAGAATAAAGTTTATTAACCTTTAATCGGACTTTGCATTTAGTCTATTACGAACCCATACGCACTCAAAAATTTTTGGTGTCAGAAGTGGGATTAAGCGTCTAAAGCGAGGGATGAACAATTAAGGCAGTTGATGGCAGCTTTTGGTACATTCCAAGAAAAGATGGAAGAGGCTGTCAACTCCGGCAAAAAAGAGATTAAAGCTGTCCAAGATTTCACTTAAAGAGGATATGAAAGCTGTTAAAGAAGAAATGAAAAGAGAAATCACCCGCATAATAGAAAACAAATCTGAGGCTATGGAAGGCAGAATAAAGGCAGTGGAAAATAAAGTTGGAGAAACTGAAGAAAGAGTTTCTTCTGTCAAAGAACAGATAGAAGAGCGAGTTTCTGCCGTGGAACAGCAAATCGATAACAGAGTTTTCGCGGTCGCCAAAGATGATGATACCTTAAAGAAATTCGTAGCGACTGGCAGGGAGCAATAATAACGGTTTTTTAAAATTTTTACCTATGCTTGCTCGTCCTTCTTTGAAGCTATCCACGTATAATGGGAAGACCTCCTGGCAAGTATATGAGACAAAATTTTCATAGTGGCGGATGCGAATGAATGGAATTCCCAAGGCCTGTCATCTCGCCGCTTTTCTGAGAGCAGACGCTGCGGATATTCTTCCCGAAAACCAAAGGCTAGATTTCCAAGTTCCATCTTGCGCTTTGGTGAGAAATGTTTAAAAGACTGCAACAGGCTTCAATTAAAATCCCGTCAATAAAAGCCCACGGAAACCCTCCGGGAGCCTGCCACGGATGTTGAAAGACTCTCCCACCTCGCCTCTTTGGAGTGCCCGAGCGAAACAAGGGAAATTCTGTCCCTGCAGTACTTCATCGATGACATTTCGGACTCGGAAATACAGAAGGCTCTACGAACGGCGGATGTCAAGGATTTAAAAAGCGCTGTAGTGTACGCCATGAAATTCGAGGCAGCCCAGCAAGCAACTCGTAGAGACCGCCACCCAGTCAGAGCTGCTCCAGTCCAAGAATCAGTGGATGAAGTCACTGCTCGTCTATAAGATTTAACCAGACAACTCAGTGCCTTGAGACGGAATATTAGTGACAAGAAATCGACCGTAAAGTGCTGGAACTGCGGCGCTGAAGGCCACATACGAAGAAACTGCAGAACGGCCCGTGGCATGGATGTTAAGACTGCTCCTAGCAAGGAGGAGGGAAACTAATTAATGGATATCTCGCGGGGCGGAAGTTACCAGATGAGAAGACTCCGTTTTAAAGTCTTTCAAATTTTTGCCATGAGTGGCGGCAGTAATGAACTCTTCATCTTGGGACATATCAACGGAGTTCTCTGCAGTATGACCATCGATACAAGAGCCAACGTTACCATCATCAGAAAAGATTTGACTCAACAACTAGAAGGTAAACTTATCTGTACGCAGCCCTGCGTTACCCTCCAGACTATGTCCGGCGAGAAGATCGACATCGGCGGAAAAGTAATCTTTAACACGTTTGAAAGTATCGCCTACCACCACACAATGGAAAACAAAAATTCTTTTGTAACCAAATTCTTTCCTTCACTGTTCTTACGGTTTTATGCACAACAGATGTTCTGTTGTAGGCTCTTTCCTTTTCTTATTTTATTGTTTTGATGAATAAACGAAACTGTATCATAATCAGATCTACCTTTTTCTGATTTTAGGTTTTTAAAGCATAACGAAAATTCTATCATAATTAATGTAATATTCTAAAATTAATTATCTGAAATGATAATGAAAGTTTTTCAGGAGTTTAGCTTTAAAATGTTTTCGCATATATGCTAATCATCATTGACCATATATAATGTTTAACGTGCAAAGATTAAAATTTACACAATAAAGATTTTTTCCTTACCCTTTTTTTTTTCCAAATCTTTGAGCTCTTTATTGTATTTGTTTTATGTATCGCATAAATATTTATCTATAGCGCTTGTGATCATCAAATATTTTAGATGCAATACTTTATCGAAATTTGCATTTATATATATGATATAAAATTAATTGCAGTAAATTGTTGCATAGACAAATTAAAAATTATTTATTATAGTTAAGGCAGAAGTAACTGATGATTTTTAGATCATGTTTAACTATTGCCAAAATATGGAAACTCAATTTAATATTTTGATAATAGCTAACCTTATTTACTCTTATCTGATAATTAATGCAGAAATAGCATAGTGTTTTTTAAGGTTCAACTTATTGAAAAACACATTGTTAAATAGATCAACGTATCTGCTATAATTCAGCGAACTAATGGAATATTTAAACATGCAAAATGCAAGTTAAAGCTATCTCACGTGCATTTTTTCCTCCACTGAATAATAATAATAAAAAAAAAAAAAAAAAAAAAAAAAAAAAAAAAGAGAAAAGAAAAAAGAACACCTTTTTAACTTGTTGCTTGGATTTCTAAATTCGAGATGCAATTCATAACAGTTGATATCGTAAGCATTCTGCAAAGCAAATGTTTCAAGAAATAAGAAATCTACGTATTCTTCTAAAATTAATTTATACAATTTTTACAGCAAGGATTAATATTCACCTGCTGAAGATCCAGGTGGTTTAATGGGCTCTTCCTGTTGCTGGGAATCTGGCAGCTTGTCATTTTTTCGCCGCCATTTTCTGAGGCATTGCTGTTCATGCATAGATATTACCCACGATCCATAACTGCGACCGCACACGTAGCAAGGCACGTATACAGGCTCCGATCTTTGCTCCTCCTGTTATGGGCAGAAGAAAAACAATTTAATGACTGCCATCGTTAACCTCAATGACAAAGAGCCACTCACAGCGAAACTTTTGCAACTTAGAATCATGTTTTCTATTTCACATAAGATATGCATGAAACTAAATCTAGAAGTTGGGTATATAGGTCGGAGGTGTGTCATCAAAATCCCGTTTACCTATTACAGGAATAATTTTTTTTATTCAAACTACATGTGTATGACAGCAGTCAGCACCTAAAGCCTTTCACGGATGACATTCTAAATGTATTTATTATAACTCAAAAAATCGTGCAAACAGAAAATATATTACTAACTATATTATTTCTTGTTAGGCACGGAATAATTTTAGATCTGTTACGATTAAAAAATAGTGCATTTCAATGTATTTCTGCTGCGATACTACTACACTTATAATGCAGTTTTTAGTTACAGTTATACACCCACAAATCTTTTGATCTATGTTAGAATACAAAAAAAGCTTATAGTAATAATGCAAGATAAGGATTAGTAAGCTCATGCAGATGTTAAATTCTGTAGGTTTATCTATAAAGGACTAATCCTAATGCTCTCAAGGCAGTGGAATGATGATTTGACGTTCAATTTCATGATATCTTACTTCTTTATGTTCGGCCTTAATTTCGGCTGGAATACATGTCACTGGTATTCTGCTTTTGCCCTTTGCCAATTCCATCCTTGAGCTAACGGTATTTTAGAATTAAAGCAATAAACCTTCAGCAGCATAGCAATAATGACAATATGGTGACTGTAGTGTTATTTTTTGAGGAGTGAAAACACTCTGCTGACTGTCCGTTTGCCTGGTGACTTTGTGCCGCAGCAGTTTTCCACCTTTATTTTGCCTTCATTTTCACTTCTTCCATGCACATCGCGTCAAAAAGGTTGTAAGGATCCCAAGTTTTACTAACGTTTATTTTATTTTAAACTGTACTATCACTTTTTATTTTCTACTTCCGGCCAGAATTAAATGCTCTAACTTGTTTATGCAAATTGTCTTCCTAACGCCCAAGTATTTGTGGTTTTTTGCCAAGAGAGAAGGAGATTTAGGAAGCGAGCCGCCTGCCACTGTAGTTTTATGATTTTTCACTCGGTTGCTGTTTGCCTTTAAAGCCAGAGGTTTAGCCCTCTTGGTATTTGAAAACGTATTGTAGTTTCAGCAGCTCGGCGTACTACATACGTACCTTTTTAAATAAAAGCCAGTTTTAGTGCTAGGCATTTGTATACTAATTCGAAGTTAGCTTTTAGTTAGAGTTTTAGTTAATAGTTTTATATTTTTACGTTCAGACCACAAGTGGCTGGTCTCTGCATCCCGAAGTTCGGGAGTAACTGTAAAGTAATAGAGAATAAAGGCTTTCGTATAACCTTCCTGCTTGTGTCGTCTGTTACACACAATCTGGAACAGAGCTTCAGTAAGTTAACTGTTCTTATTCAGGAATTCAGGATACAGTATGTTCCCGAAACAAGTGAAAAGACATACGTCTCCTGACAAGGTGGTGTCCATCCTATCTTATATTTATCCATTATTAGAGGTGGCTGGTTACTTTGTGTGGGCCATACTGTATTTTAAACAAAATCAGGATAGGAAAAGGAACGAAGACTTGGAAGAACTCAGATAGATAAAAGGTTTGAAGCCCAGATGATGAACGAAAGAGTGTGATTCAGAGGAACAGATTAGACATTGCCTACGACGCAGGTCTCTCTTATAAGAGATGGTTTATTACCGTATTATTTATGAAAACACGTTTCAATTTGAATAGCTCGTTCTTTGCGTTCTTCTTTTAATATAAATTGTTGTGAAAACGTCCAGAAAAGAAAGAAAGTCTAATTAGAAGACCAAACTAAATTTAAAAAATAACACGACAAGAATAAAGATTAGAGTAAGCTGAAAAATTCCTGAGTATTCGTGTTTCAGAAATGAAATTAATTGCTTTTTGGGAAAAAAAAAAAAAAAAAAAAAAAAAAAAAAAAAAAAAAAAAAAACAGAAGCAACAGCTTGTAGAAAATTCGCTTTAAAAGTGCTGCATGTGCATGTCCACGGTAAAGCAAATTTCTCAAGGTTGAGAACATTTTGTGGAAGTTTCTCTTAAAGATGGGAATTCAGTATTCATGAATAAAGGGAAAAAAAGAAATACTGTCAATAAACGACAGACGATAGTTTTTTTAACTGGATGTCTGCATAACAGCCTGACTGTTTTTGTCTTGTAGATAATTAAGACGTCCAGCCAGGATCTGGGAAATTCACGATTCGAGAGACACAGTTGAGAGAAGTGGAAGTTTTCTTGCATCGTATAATCTAATGGTCTCTACAGTGGCACTCGAACTAATGTGTGGACAAGATGTGTGGCAAATGTGATGGACAAGAACTCATCGCAGCTTGGGTTTGGTCGACTAAATATCTTGCCTCTATCTAGTTGCCATTCAAGTGGGGGAGAAAGTATATATATAATCATAAGAATGAAAGGGGAGTACTATTAAAATTACAGTATTTCAATAAAGTTAAAATTAAGAAAGCCAATAAAGATAACTAAGAATTACAATTTGAAGTCTACATAAATTCCAATTTATAAAGTCGTAATATGTAAGGGTAGATAGAAAAATTGAAATCAAAGGTAAAATAAAAATTTATATATTTTAAATTAATAAAATATTAAAAGTATTTGCAATAATATAATTTAAAAATTACTTGAAATAGTGAAAGGGGAAAAGTGCAACAAGGAAAAAAAAACTGCTCTTTAATTGTTTTTAATTGCATATGCAAATTAAAAACTAATATTATACGTAAATATTCAATTCTCCAAATTTAGCTAATTCATATGCATTTCAAGAATTCCCCTATATGCCCTTCTTATAGGGCAATTTTTCTTCCATCTGCCGCTTTTACTTACTTTTACTTACCGCTTTTACTTTATTTCAAGTAATTTTAAAATAATATTATTTCGAATACTTTTAATATTTTATTAATTAAAATACTATCAATTTTTATTTTATCTTCTATTTTAATTTTTCTGTCTACCCTTACCTATTACGACTTTATAAATTGGGACTTTATAAATTATAAATAAATTACTTTATGTAGACTTAAATTAATTTGTAATTCTGGGTTACTTTTAGTAGCTTACTTAATTTTAAGTTTATTGAAATATTGGAATTTTAATAGAAGTATTCGTCTCTCATTCTTATGATTATGTTTAATTAAATCGTTGCAGCCTAGGCGCAGGATTCTTAATAGTCCTTCTTTCCCTTTGCTTATATTGTTATTCCCGCACGCGTGTTCTTGAAATGTAAGTAGTTAGCATAAACAGCTGGCAACTGGAAGATCGGTGGCTCGAATCATTGCGAGTATGCAGTTAATTTTTCCTGTTTCCTGTACCGGAATACTTAATATCTGTTCAATGTACAACATGCATTTTATTTTAATATGCAATATAAATAAGATTTAATTTGATTTTCTTTTTCATTGTCATTCTGCTCTCATTAAGTCCTAATTTTCATCGCAATCTGCTATGTAAAATGGTTTTCAAATTATTGGATATATCCATGGGAATAGAAATCATTAGTATTTGTAGTCAAGATTACAAATAGCAATAACATACCCCATCTCTGGATGAAGCTGACTGTTCCCTTAGAGAAGAAGCTCTCTTCAGTGGTCTGGGACTGGGTTTTCCTTTACATACCCTGCGATGGACAGGTAAACGCTCTGGGAAGAAGGTTCTTCCACACACTGCACAAGGCACGAGTTGCGATTGGACAGCAGACCAAGCTGGATCATCTTCATTTGGTGTTCGTATCTCCGCCTCCTCCGGCCTTCGAGGTGGCAGTTTCCTCAAGTTGGGAGTGAGGGAATTATTCGTTTTCTTCCAACTCTGAAAAGGAGATAGTAATCAGAACTTTTGTTAACTTCATTAACAATGATTTAGAATATGTGTAAACTAAAAAATTTTTCTGAAAATGGCACATACTTAATAAACCATATAGAGCTAAACATAAGAGAAATGGATAAACGAGATTTTCCTTTCACTTCAACAGTTTAGTCTATTGTACTAAGTAAATATACTCATAAGTGAAGAGAGTTTAAATAACAAGCGAGAATCTAAGTTAAAGCGAAAGAACTAGTCAACTCAATCTGCCCTACTTAAGTTACTCTGTTGCTTCATATCTGTAGCGTTGTGCTATAATCTGGCGAGTTTGTCTTTGATTGAAATTATGTACATTAGCAAATATGGAGTAGCGGTGCTAGGTTGTTAGATTTAAGTTTAAAGATTAGTTTGAAAATTATTTGTATTAACTTTCTGTCCATACAGCAAGAAGTGGAAGTTTATTTTCTTAACACTAATTCTTATAACTTCGACCTGAAATGAAAATAGTTCGTAAGTTTGAATTTTAGTCAACTGTTTTTTTTCTTTTTTTAGTTTTATTCTGTTTTTGCTGATTTTTTTCAGTTCTACTAACATTTTAAGTTTCAAGGTAGGTACCGGATGCATAATTTATAGGCAGTTTAAGAAAGTTAGACTAAACTGAGGTTAACCTTAGAGCATGACGCATTTTAGCAGTAACATTTGAAATTTAAATTTTTTACTACTCAAGTGAGGGAATAAAAACATCATTGAGAATGAGAAAAATTTCTCACATGAGTTTCTGAAAGAGACAAGGAAGAATTTATCCCCACTAATAATAAGGATAACACGAGACAATATTTCAGTCATCGCACAGAAATATTGATAGAACATCTATGCTTATCAATATCAATTCGCAAACAAGTACTTATGTGAAATGAAATGAAGATGTCTAAAACATATATCCGCCGTTAAATAAATTTAAGTAAATGTGTTTAAGTTCATAACACATAACGCATAATGCAAGCATGTGTTTTCAGTTCTTACTTGTAGCAAATATAAAATTAAAAAGATTTTCCTTGAAGAATTAAATTCTTGCATAGCCTCTAAAATAAGTTTTTCGTGTTCTTTTCTTTTTCTTTTCTTTTTTTTTTCTTTTTTTTTGGTAACGTGGAAGCGATTTAAGCCATATAAGTTTGAAAATTTTCTGCACCAATTTTGCATTGCGCAGATTTTTTTGAAAATATCTTGATAATAAAAAACTAATTACTAATTGGAATTTCCTCTATAATAGGCATGAATAAAAATTTTAAATTTTGCATATTTATGTTAAAAGGCCTTAATGAATAAAAAGTACGGTAGTCTGTAAGCGTAGTCTGTCTGATTTGTTTATTAAAGCTGGAACTATGGATCTAACCGTTCAAGAAATATTTAGTTGCACAAAGCTTCTAGTACATTTTGGATGTTATTTAAAAGCTGTAATCAAATCTTCCTAACTTTGTTAACCGTTTAAATTTGCTTTAGAAAAAGGAAATGTTTTTTCCCCCAAAGAAAAGAGATTTTTTAGTTTTTGGTAGTCCAGCAAAGAGCAACATCGTTCAACTGGAAGTGGTTCTTATTAAAATGGAAGAAACTCCCTGGGAAAAACGGAACAGCAAAATATATCCATTCAATTTAGTACGCAAATTAAATCAAATGGGTAGTTCAAAATAATTAGTATACTTTGTAACCCTGGAATATCCGAGAGCGCACGAAGTAATTGCGTTCTTTTGTAAACGAACTGTATGCAGAGAATGGTGATATTAGCTTAGGAGCTATTTTCCATGTACTGTACGCAGAGAATGGTGATATTAGCTTAGGAGCTATTTTCCATTTATTTTCCTGCTGCTAGAATACTACTTCAATTAAAATCAATAATAAACCACGGTTCATCAATAATTGATGTTGTGACATTAGTTCTGGCATTTTCAGTACTATTTAATTTTCTTTATACTTGGTACAGCAATACAATAGGAATACGCTCAATATTATTAAAATATTTTCAACTTTATCAGAACTCTTCAGAGGTTCCCGTGATGGAAAATGCACGAGCCATTGAAACTGAGTAAAAATCACAGAAGTTACTTTTGTAGAAAACCCTTATTCTATTGATACCGTTTCTAACAAATATGGTGTTTAGTATATATTATAGAGGGCATTTCTGCTCACTAAAGAAGATGGATCAAGCAACTGTATCCATTAAAATGCGTAGAAATTCCCGATAAAGCCAAAGACAATCTAAGATTAATTTTTGTATTTTAGATTCACTGATTTCAATTAAAACAGCGAATTTCTATTTTACAAGGCGAGAGTAAGAAAAACCTGTGTTTAAGAGGAAGATTTATAAATAAGCATATCTTTTAACAGAATATAGGTACAACTAATGCAGATATAAACATCTATATAAGAAAAACAACAAAATAATTAGCTTCTTAAAGTACAGTTTAAAGTACAGTTTTTATTTTTGGAAATTATTTCTTTTTATTTCTTTCCGAAAATTATATTTCCGTGCTAACAATGACTCTAGCATACTGAAACTTCTCAGTTAATAATACGTTTTCAACATATATTCAAGATCAGTTTAGAACTTTGAAATGGGTTAACTAATTTTCCTATTTTTCAAGTTGGTAATAATTTGAAAAATATTCTTACAGAGACAGTTTCAGATTAAATAACTTGAAAAATCAGCTAGGGTGGGATTCAAACCTCGGATCTCCAAATTTGCTAGCTGGAAGTGATATCGATGTATGCCACAACATTACATACGAGGGAATACGATAACTTCTTACACCCTATTACTGAATTCTTTTCGAGAATGTAATGAAATTCATTAAATTATCCCGTCACATGCTGAAACACATAGAAAAATCTGGTAGAGCTTAAAGATAACAAATTTAACAAGCGAACATTGAAAGTTCATTTACATTTTAAATAGCAAAGGTATTTTATTTATACCATGCGGTAAAAATCCTCAAAGGCAGCATATCAAAAGCAAAAATTATTTGTAAACATCACACAGCTAGAATTAAAATCAACATTACAACCAATCTTCTTTTTATCTTTTCCCCTAATTTGAGCTTGTCTATTCAACCTTTAATAAGGATCAACGCCCTCAACCACTGTCTGTTGGAAAACGTCCAGAATATTCCTCGAAAATGCATCACGATACTTACTTTAACTCCGCCTTCGTTCTTTCAAGATCATCCATAACTTATATATGCCTGAATTCTTCAAGAATCACAGAGAATTCGAAATCTTAAGAAACGAAGACACTTACTTCCTCAATTTTACAGATAATAAGTTCTTTGACCCCAAAAGAGTAAAAGACTGAATCAACGACTAAACACCAAGGTTTAGTCATTGATTTTCGTAATTCTTTCATAACAGGTAACTGAAGTAGGTTTAAAATAAAATCGACGGTGTTTGCTGGAAGATTGGCACAGGCTCCCGAACTCATTAGGTAATTGTTATACAAAGCGAGTAACAGTAGCGTGTTTGAAATTTCTCATTTGCATACGATGAGCAACACAGAATGAATAGTTCAACATGTATTCAGATTTCTGTAATAGGTGAAAGGTGTCTGGAATTTAAAACGCCGTTAGCTTCGAGTCATTAAGCTTTGTACCTCTAAATTGCATTCATTTTGATTTTGCTCGTAATTCTAGGATTAATCAAATTTTTTATTCTTCCCTTTCTACTTTCTTTCTGTAATATTAATATTTTAAAGGAAACGTTAATTTCCTCTCTGAAATTTCTGTAACTAACGCGAAATACATTTTTTACATATGTTACTCATTTTCGTTTGCCAAAATTCAAATAAAATTGATTCATTTTTGCAATTTTAGGTCAGAAGAGTTTTAGGTGAATTCTCGATAACGTATTTCTCCAGCCTTCTTATCATGCCTTCGTGGTGTAGTGGTTAGCACATTCGGAGTGTATTCGAGAGGTCCGTGGTTCGAGTCCGGGGGAGGGGATTGCACATTTTTCGTTTCTCCTGCTTCGAAATAGAAATAACCTAATGATTCTACATCTCTATTTCTTGCTCACGTGTTTTATGATAGTATGAAAATAATTTTTGCGCGCTCAAGTTAAAACATATGAGAAAGTATGGCAGTAAACATTAAACTTGCATATTTTTGTTACTAAATATTTTACAGAGTGTGAGTGTAAAAATTCTATTCGATAGTATTGTCATCGCTATGTATGACATCGTAATGTGAACTTAGTTATGGCCAAATGTGTAAGTTCACTGAGCACAAATATTTGGATTCGAGTTCGAAACCTCGTGAGTGCACTGGTGCATGGATGTTTCCATGGTTCCCTCCATGTACAATACCAGGCAATTTTCCTTACAAAACCTTCATTAAAGCATTCTTCCTCTTAGGAAGAAAATCCTAGTGTGCTTATCTGTGTTTAAATGAAGAAATGCCATGTGTGACATATCAGCTGATATTTTATTTTGATTAATCCTTTTGACCTGAATATAACGTAGGTGAAGTTCACAAATTCATTGTAGCTAAGAGAAAAGGGGTTGCACTTGCAGTTGGCCAAGGCCTTGGGGGCCAAGTAGGTGATTGCCAGCGGTTATAAAGATCATGATCAGGCCGTACGTTAAGTAAGACATTTGGTGCATTCAGAATTCGATGCAGAACGTAAAGCACTGATAGCATTATTTCTACCAGCTGCTTCCAAACAGTACCAGAGTGTTGTTATTGCAGTTTTAGCTACGAAACGACATAAACCAGCAGTATCATACCATAAGTACATCCTGATGCTAAGATATATTTAATGGCTGCTATATGCAAATACGATGAAACATTATAGTACTTCTGTAAAGACGTCATTATAGTGCGCAGCAGTGCATACTCCAGGGATGTGAAGTAAAAGTAAGTTGATCTAAAATTATGGAGACTGGCTTTCACATTTCTAGACATCCTATTTTTTATTTCCCGTCTCAGCGCCCTCAAACACTGTCTATTAGCAAGATTCCT